CATTCATATATTTTACAAAAACCAAAGGACATTAGCGCGCGTCGGTGAAGGGCAGAGAGCCAACAGGGCTGCGGGATGGAGTGACTCGATTGATTGACTTTTAATGTTACGTGATTTTCTCCACCGGCTTTAAAATTAATTCAAAAATACTACTACACAAAACCCAAGCCTATAACAGAACGCTGGCGCGCCTACGCCTAAAATTCGGCACATTTAGAGTGAACATACGACTATTTAAAGACCCCCATGGCGGCGCGGATGGAAGGCCAATGCGAACAGAACAGCATGCCCATAAGAACATTGCGAGAGGAACATACAGGAACGAACGTCAGACGCAATCGATGCTGTTTTCGTAGGGCTTCATCAATAATGCAATGCGGCGGCAGCAGCAGCGGCGGCAGAGAGAGGATGCGATAGGCGCGCCTACGCTAAACCGTCCAGCGGGACACGCGCGCGCAACCTCCGACCGGCGTCGCCGTCGCCGTGGCAACGCCGCTTCCTTATTAACATGCGCATGAATTATGAATCTGGGCGCGGAGTCCCCGGCCGCTACGCTCTCTCTCTCTCTCTCTCTCTCTCTCTCTCTCTCTCTCTCTCTCTCTCTCTCTCTCTCTCTCTCTCTCTCGCCCTCTCTTATGTACTGTCACACATTATTAGCATTATGTTGTGATTTTGATGACATGCAAAATAGACTGTGTATTAAATACTAGTAGTAAATCGTTATTGCATTTATTTAAGAGCTAATATAGGTATTATTAGCTCTTGATTTATTGTAGGTGTTTGATAATTTCCTGCGTATGTTTTTACATTGTTATCTATCTGCCTATAGGTTTACGTACCACTGGCAGATACCAAGGATCTCATATAGCTAGCTCATAGTACCACAGGATGCCTGTGAGTAAGCTGCAAGCAATGACGCCTTGCAAGAGCGATTTGCTGGAGAACAGATTCTATTGAGACGTTTTTACACCTTAGTGTTAACCCACGCACTCATACTGAAGCGGTAGTGAGATTCCAAAATATATTTCCAAATAAATTGGTTGTTTTTTCGTTTTACACCAGCTTCAGCTGAAACCATTTCTCAATAAGATATTCAGCAGTGCGACAGACGATGACTTTCTTCGGTAACTTCACCAGCACTCTCAATGCAACTGAGGACAGGTACAGAATAGATCGGTTTACGTGCGTTATAACCATAACTCTCTCTCTCTCTCTCTCGCTCTCTCTCTAGCTGCGGCAGGAACCATAATCGTAACTAGAGAATCGGTTCATGTAACCCGGAACTACTTTCCTATTACACAAAAGACAATGTCGCGGACAGCTACACAGCTGTGACGTACCTGTGTACACATCAACCTGAGCACAGACAGCCAGCACTATAACGATTATTGGCTGAGATAAGTAGTAAAGTGGCGAGATAAAGTAAGACTGTCAAGTGATGAGGATAGAAGTCTCCAAAACTCTTTCAAGCTCCTAAGCTGCTAAAAATGTGGAAGCCATCCGGGTCATACTGTTACCCTATCTAAGCATCATTGACACGCCATAGGGTATCTGAAGCAAGGGCGATACACGTCGTACGATAACTGGACACGCGTGTCTGAATGTGCCCTTTCATTGCTCGGCTCTTCTACAGGCAGTGCACGCACCGTCGCGAAGAATGATTTTCAATCAAGGCTATTGCAGTTCATTTACCACGTCAGCGCTAATGACGTAATGCAGGGGTTTCTCACATCGTGTACTCACGCATCGCTTGCACACATCGCTTTGTCATAGAGCATTGCTACACTGCCCAGACGAAAATTTAAATCCAAGAACGCGCCATTTAAGTCACACCATCAGTTGGTGGACCAGACCGCATGTATTTGTGCCAGATGTAGCAGGATTCATTTCTAATAGCCTCGCTGGCCCTACGTAATGGCAGGTAGAGCGTTAAAGATAACGTACGTGTCACACGTAATCACTTGGCGGGAGTGCTAAGCACGGAAGGCATGCGTAGTACAGCCAGCCTGCACTGATGACCTGAGACAATCACAAGCCTGGGAGAGCTCTGCCTGAGTGGATACGAGTGCAGCTTTTCGATATCTGGACCTCACTGATAGTTGCCAGCTAGGTCTTAGCAGCCCAAAGTTGAAATTGTGATAGCCTGCAAAGCCTGTATAACTGCCACTCAAAAGAAATGCGAAAAATGTCCCTAATAAACAGGTGTTCCTTCTGTAGAGGAGAACACTAACACAGGGTTGATAATTGTATAATTTCCATGACTAAGCAAAGTGCCTCTTAGATTTATGAGCAAAATAAAATGAAAGCCAAACAAATGAAAATAACTGTAAATTAAGTGTAAATCACCATACATCCATGAA